AATATTTACAACCCCATATTAATTGTAAAAAAAGTTTATAATTTGTTTTTGTACTGTATTGTGTTGATGCTACTTTTTAAAATAGTGATATAGTTATATATCACATTAAATAATTAATAATTCGATTGATCGTAATATAATTAATCAGCCATTAAGTTTCCTCAAATTATGACATTGACCCAGAGTTCGTTGTAATGATACAATCTGTTATGAATGATATCGACACCGCAATCGCCGCGGCCTACTACCAGCAGAACCTGAATAAAGTTCACACATTTATCTACAATGCTCGGTAAGCGACAGTCCGTGAGCTTGCACTTAAATAAGTATCTTCTGGGCTACCGTACAATTAATTATGAGCCTCATTTTCGCTATGCTTCTAGTGGAATTGTGGCCTATATTCTGATTGCAAAGTCACGCTGCAATTAAATAATGTTTGTGATAATTTATTACGTCGACTAGACTGGGATAGGAACTATTTTTTCCATAATCACAAGCTCTCGACGGCGCTTGTGCCAGATCTTTGTTTTCGAAGGTGACAATTTTTATAAATGAGGACTGTAGAGGGTCTAAGGAATTTTTAATTTTTATGTTCCTCCAAACCAAATTTATGTGCAGGCTAAGGCCTTAGGCCACAATCAGCGTGGATGAGAAGTTGCGGAATCTCCGTCCGAAACGCAACGGGGGACTTCCGTCGCTATGCTTGCACGCTATGCACATCTCGGGGGCAGTACCTTCTGCACCCATCACCCACGCAGTGCTATCACGATGCCACGACACCATTTTCGACACATTGTCCTCTACAAGATTTATATTACCAGGCATCGCGGGACATATTCGGAGACCCGCTCCGAGCGCCCGCAATCTCGAGATCTCGTTTCTAATAGGGGAACACCATTATCACTCAAGTAAATATTTACTCATGTGCCATTATTAAGGAGAGGGCAATGACGAACGCCTTTGCGATTTTGACTACTAGTGGGAACACTACTCTCCCGATCATACTCAGCAGGCTCACAGCAGCAGGCGTTACATCTTACTTAGTTTAGCACGCTACACTTTTCAGTCTATGGAAGCAGATTGCCTATGAAACACTAATGTTTTTGGGTTATTTCCCATCGGCGCCGGTACGGTGGTAAACTTAGGTTAGGTACACTCCTTCATCTTCAGCTCTTTAAAGTCCATGACTGACAGAGGTTACATGACGCAGTATCAGAATTCTTGCATTTTTAACACTGTTAGCCGTTGCAATTTTGTGATTTACGTCTAGCGTGAAAGTGATGGTTATACCGCTATCTATCGGAAGCCACAAGATTTTTCTGGCAATTCCCATAGTTGCCTATAGTCCCGATGCCCACGGGAGGCAATAGCGGACAGTCACCTTACTGGTTTAAAATACGGACAATAACAATGAAATAAAAGCAACTCCCAAAGATCAAATTGTGTTTGCTCGTAAACGTGGTAGAGCCATGCTGCAGCTATATTAATTGTATAGTTGTAGCACGAATGCGTCCGCTCGACCGGAGAAGGACCACGCTCTCACAGAATACCAGCGTAAAATAGCAGCTTAATGCTGCTGTGTTTCGTATGGTGAGTGTAGAGAACCGGAAATCCTTTTTACTGGAAAAGAGGCATTCCATCTTAGTCCTCACGGCTGACAACGCATCTGCATTTTGATTCACAAACGAAGATAGATGTAGATAGATGTCTATGGGCCACAGCAACCACTTACCATCAGGTGGACTGTGTGCTCGCTTGCCATACTTATCCTATAAAAAAATTTATATAAATAAGGCAAAGGCCCGCTATCTCACTTCTAAACAATGTTTATATTCAGCTGATATTTATAATGTAACCGGTTTGAGAATATTATACAATTTCTAAAACGTATATTTTGTAAATGTTTCCAAACCGCCATAATGTAAACATTATTGCACTTTGCTTTTGCGTAGAGTAAATACGTTACAACGAATACGTGCTCAAACAAAATGTACTGTTTAAATAATACTAATATTTAAATCTAAATGTGTAACAAAACTTTTAACAAAATATTATAATTATAACATACAATAAAAAAGTTTCAAATGTATTTTTTACAAAGATGTTTCTTGGTTATAAGGTATTTTAGGTTTTTTTAAATCAGCTTACGGCATGTGCTGGCAGGTCAGCGACCCCAGAACCAAAAATTAATTTAGCAAGTATTAAAACAAAAACAGCAAATTACTGACTTAGCATTTATCCATCATGGCTTCTCGCCGTCGGCAATCTTGTTTGAAATAATGAAAGAGCATAACCGTACGTGGTTAGTTATTGTTATGCCAAGCAACTAATTTAATGTGATATAATACATTGGTTTAATTGAAGTACAGTTTTCCAGATAAGGTTAAAATTCTAAGTAGCGCTTAGCACTTACTTATATTTTCCCGACCGTCCTGTTCCTTTGTGAAGTACGAGGTGTCAATAGTTTCAATCAGTAATACCTAGTTCGAATGCGATGCTTGCAAAAAGAACTTTTTTGAACGTGTAATTTTATAAAAATGCGTCTCTTTGTACTTTGTACTTACTTGAAAATTCCAATTACTGGCAATGTATTATTAATACTTTGTTATTAATAATACATTGCCCTTTTATACTTTACATTGGTTTTATAGTAAGAAACCAGTGAAACGCAATAAATTTGTTTGCTAATCCCATGAAAAGAATCTTAAGCCGTCTTTCAAAGTGAAAATCAAAGGTTGTTGTTGTAGGTACTAACGCTCTGCTGTGGCTAGAGGCTGGTATCGACCTTGTAGATTAAATAACATTTTATAAACTTTAACGCCTGTCACCCTAGCTAACAGGTAGTCTTTACCACCCTAGCATTGCGTATAGTGCTATTCTACTTTGAAGAGTACCTATAGAGAGCCAGAGTAATTACAAGCTGAGAGGCATCTCATCTTAGTCCTCTGTGGTCTGTATCCTTAGTTAGTTGCAGGTGTCTTTGGGCTACAGTAACCGCTTATCATCAGGTGGACTGTTAGTTCGTTGTCACCTCTGAGGACTAAAGTTTTACATTTTTTTTTATTTAGCTTCACAACCTATTATTACGCTGGCACTCAATACACTATAGATGGAAAAACAATAGTTTTTTTAATTTATTATAAGACAGTGCTTGACCAAAAACCCACCTGGCGGTAAGTGATGATGAATCCCTAGATGGTAATTCGCACTGTCTTAGCGTAACAAAAGCCTATTCACTCTTACCAAGAAGACGCCTAGATTGAATTCGGGTGAAAAGTTATTACACTCCTTTGCTGTACGCATTACAAAAGACGAAGCATACCGTTTGGGTTCGAATGCAAGGAATATTGACAACAAAGGGTTGAAGACCCGCCGATCGCCTAATTGTCCGATGATGGAAAGGAGGGAGAAATTAAAGTATGTAATGCAAGCACTACTATTTGGCATCAGGAATAGGTAAACCTACCCAGTCTTCTCTTTCATTGTTTAACGCTACACATTCGAGGTTATCTAATATGAAAACGGCATTCGCAATAAGCAATTAACCAGATACTGGTTTTATTGATTCATATAATTTAAACACGTTTCTATAAGTAGGTACTACAGTAACAGTTTACATAGCCAAGTTGCCTACGCCAAGTGATCAGATGCCAACCTCTGTCGTCAACGAACATATCAAATAGAGCTGTCACCTTCGCGAATCAGACGACGGTTGTTGAGAAATTCACAATTTAAAATTAGAGCCAGGTGTTCAAGAGGAAATCGTCTTAATAAATTTTATGTAACAGGAAAGAAAACGTATCCCGCTAAATGTGTTATAAAATATAATTCTAAGTTGCGTTTTTACAGGATCAATGCCGCAAAAATTACTAGCGTTTCATAAGAAATGAGGGCCCACGAGCGTTGAAATCATTTGTAATTTGATATAATTTTAACTCATACATTACGATTATAAAACAAAAACAAAAAAGGTGTTTTGGGATTTATAATTTATTTATATCTTATTTACATGGCTAGTTCTTTTTTAAGTTTAATTATATTACACAAGCAGACAAAGAAGAGGTTAAAATTTATATTGATATTGTTGACATTGATATTGTTACGAGCTTGCTACTGTAGAAACATCTAGTATGTTCGAGTACATATCGGTCCCGAAATTTCTAGAAGGATCGTGATTCTCCTAGTTCTGCTACTCGATACTAGAGGGCGCTATTGGTAACTAGTGTTGCCATGTACAAGACGTTAATACGCGCATAAGGCGCGCAACAATATTAAAGATATACCTTAGCCGGGCAAAGGTCTCCCCTCATTTCTAAAAGGTTTATTCCAAGTTACCACGGCTAAAGACTTCTTCAATTCATTAGTTTTCCTGAAATTACGAAAGAATACCAGGTGTCTCATTTTATTTCTGCTACTATATATAGCAGTGTCTGCACTCCTGTGTTCCGATCTCAAGGGTAAATATTATGGAGAGAGACTCTAGAAATCAGAATAATTACTGGCTATGAGGCATTCCATCTTAGCCCTCAGAGTTGACAACCCATAGGTAAACCATTGTTTGCAGTAGGTTGCACATGTCCAATGGCTGCAGACTGCAAAAACTACTCACCACCAAGTGGACTTTAAGTTCCTTTGTCAATTTATTTAATGATAGTCAACTTTAATTAAAACAAAATAAACTGACCCTAGCATATTTGACGCTAGAGTTGCAGTCTGTGACGATGGTTTGTCTTATGTCGTTACTTCAAGGTTAAAACCGATGAAGTATTTTTTTGATTGAAAAAAGAACAAAACGGATATTAAAGGTGATAAAGTATTTATATCCGTTTGTATGAAAATAGAAAAACTAACATTAGATTTGAGACCGATGTGTTATGTTTTATCTCTGTTTATATCCATATTGATATGTTATATCCAGAATCGGATACAAATGTAATTCGCAGCAGTGCTGCTTTATAATCTGGCTTGTTTATTCAATCAAATATATGTATATTACTTACCTGAGTAGATTCTGTAGAGCGATTCCAGCAGGCCTTGCATCATCTTGACGGAATTGGGTTGCGCCTCAGTAGCACCGAAATTATCAAACAAAAAATCAATTTATATTTAACTAAAACAGCTATGGTTTGAACAACATTTCACCATTATATTTTTATATAATGCGACGTGTTCTCGCTGCGCAGACACCACAATTTTAAAAAATAACAATAGCTGTGAACAACACGCATCATATTTTATGTATTGTGTATTCAAAAGATTTTACAGACATAAATACAAATGTAATTGAGTTCAATGCAACATGGCGTCGAATGATAAAAAAATCAGAAATATCTATATAAGTTTTAGAGGTGAACGAACGTACAAACAGACAGGACGGTGGCCAAATTGAAGTAACGGTACCATTCGACGGATCGTTATCATCAATCAGATTTGCGTAACTATCTGCTAGCAATTACTTCGTACACATGAACTCCACCAATTCATTAGGTATGAGGAATGCGGCAACGCTTCTATATCGACATTTAGGAAGGTGTCAAAACGAACAATACAAATAGACAACGTTCGAGACTATATATATATATATATAGAAAATATAATAAAGATAGGATAATAGAAAAACATATTAAATATTTGAATTTAAAATTTGTCAGTTTTGGTAAAAACCATGTGGCTAACAATGAAAAATTACGAAATCAAAATATCCTACATCGACACCCACACGAAAAACCATGCTGTCACAAACCAACCAATTGTTTATAACTATCTTTGTTAAAGAACTCATAAACTTGAATTGTAGGCGGAGATAATATATTCTATTGAATAGTAACAATAATTATATGTATTCAAAGTACTCACATTTTTTAAAACTACACAGGTAAGAATGAAATGCAAAATTTAAAAAAAAAAACATTAAATTCTTAGACTTACATATGAAAAATAAAGATTATCAAACCGACAAAGTTGATGATCGACATAGAAATGCCACCAAACCAACGCCATCAATTACTTTGGACTTAAAAGTAGCCTGCAAGACGCTGTTGTAAATAGGATATTTAACGATATGAAGCATCATTGAAGTATTGTCATAGTATCTAAGACAAATAACAAGTTTTAAGCTAAGTCATTAACTATTTGTAAGGGCATGTAAAAGAATACACAGAAATTTTAGAGTTCCATTTATCACTAGAACAATACAACTTGAGCTCGTCCACAACTTACCGTCATCTCACATTACCCACACATTAAGACGCTTTATGCGTAATAAGTTCATTAACTTAAAAACGTAAAGGTTTTTAAGTTAACGTTTTTACGTTAGGAAAATAAACATAAAAAGTAACACAAAACAAATTTTTAAAGCATTCAACAGAAATACGAGTAGTTTACAGTAAACCAATGGCCAAGACACGGACCAAGACATAAATAATGATAAAAACGTGTCGTAAATTAAAACGTACGATACATGTACCAATCTCGTAAAGTACAAACGCGCACATTTTAAAATAGAATTGCTAAAATACAAAACCCACGAAAATAATTATAGTAACGAAACTTTGGCGATACTTCTATAGCCTGAAATATTAAAAGAAAAAAAAACCAGTAAAATAGGTATGAGACAAAATATTTCGATTCTATTGACCATTTCTAAATGAATGAACATTTATAAATTCAATGTGAATTATAAGACAGAACATTAATGACATACTTGGCTGTCTCGATGTTATATTTATAGAATACTTAGTTTGATTAGTTCAACTAACAAAAGATAAATTTAGACACAAATAAAGCCATCCGTTGCAATAAAACTCAAGTGCAGCATAAATGTACATATTAAGAATCATTTGAAAGAGGCGCAACGAAATGAATCCAACTCAAAGTCACTCGTTAAAATTTCAATAGGAGTCAAGACTCTTCTTCATAAATCACGGAAAGAGGGATTTCGCATATGTCGTGAATGACGATTTATTTCTCGGCAAATTGGAAGTGACAAGTCTGCTCTTGCTCTCGCTCAAAGAGTCAACAGGGTAGAAGATTTTATATCTGGTTTAAATCACGTAGATGCAATCATTGGAAATAAAAAGACAGTTATTGTTTCATATTGACGTTCAAATTTTTGTTAAGGTTAATTTGACTTTGATCACATTTATCACTTTTCACAATTTAACGCAAACACTTCTCTACTACACGCATAGGCACTTAAAAATTGCTAAATAACGTAGTCACAATTTTCTATAGCACTCGCGGTACTTTGCACAGATGAAACCTTTTACCCCTTAGGCTTTACACAAAAACTTGCGAAAACGTGGTTTGAACGGTTATCTGTCGGAGTCGAAGTGTCGGTGTTGAAGTTCGAAGAGTTCGGCCCTGACGGGCATCCATTACAGTACGCGCGTCCGCGCCGTCCGCGGTCTGCCACACCGCCGCCGCCACTGGCGAATCGGGATTATTTATAAATTCAGTCGAACAGGGGGTCGTAGAATTTTACTCGACGTGGTATGCCAAGACAAATGACTGCATCAAGTCGCACCGGAAGCGAGACATTGCTATGTCAGGGACTCAGGAATACTGTTGACTGCAGGATGAGCTTTGCAAAAATATCACGTATACTTCAAAAAATACTTGAAAGAAACTACAATTTTAATTACTTTTACCGAAATTGAATAAAAGTTATTATAAGAAAATAGAAATTTGAGTTATTTAATGTATTCTATATTTACAATTACAGACCTGTAACTCAGATTCAAGTCAATACAAGGTTCATAATAATATTGTTATTTTAAATTACTAATTTTTATTTCACTTGTTCTGCTTATTCTTGACTTTATCCTGACTTATTTAGTAACGATTGGTTTAGCTTTCAATATATATAGGAGTCTGGAAGTCATAAAGTCGAGCCTAAGGATGACTTTCCTCACTTTAGTTTCAAATTAATCGCCAATCCTTAACATAAATAAAAACAGCCAATAATCCAACAACAAAAATAAAATTATCATTTACTTCATTCTGCATAATTTAAATTACGTAAAACTGCTGAAAATCTTCTCAGTAATGATAATATATGCTATGTGCCCAGCGGTAGCACGTATGTAGCGTTTTACTTTATAAGACATGATAATTAAACGAGAAGAATTATTAGGAAGGGTCGAAACTTTCAACAACATTTTTGTGGCGTTTATACAACTTAGAGAAATGTAATTGATTTTTATAATATTATTATTCGATATCGAATACACATCTTATATCGGAATTTTGTTGACCCGCAAACACAGTGGCACTCAATAATCCTACCATGACGGTAAAACATTTATGTGTAAAGATGAAAGATTTTAACCTCCTAGATAAGATGAGAGCTTTAACCTCTCTTTAAATTGTGGTTTGAACGCAGTATCAGAGACACGACAGCTGCTAGTGATTTCTGTTTGGATGTCCTTCCGGGTTTTACCACCCTTTCACTTATTTCTTCTGCCATTCAGCAGTATTGAGCTTCGGTTCGAAGATTCAGTATAAAACAGGCTGTTGGACATTTCAATTTAGTGCTTGGGTGACAACGCGCCTGTGGCCTTCTTTGCTTAAAGTAGATTGCAGGTGTCCATTAACTGCAGTATCATCATATCACACGATAAATATATACTTGTAGAATCTCAAATGGCCCTGACCATGTCGCCCACGTGAACAGGTGTCGAATGTTTTCCATTCCGTCTGCTCGCACAGATATTATGACACGCGTAGTACCGAGTGGGCGTGAAGTGATAAACTATACATTGAAACATTTTTGCATTAGCCATTTTTAATACGTCTTTGTTAGCCATAGTTATTATAATATACAGGCACTATAACACAAGGAATTTTTTTAAATAAGCTTTTCAAGTACGTGCTGATGTACTTGATCTTTTTATTACTACAAGATCATTTTTTATAGAATAGGGTGACAAACGACCACACACTCCAACTAATGTAAGTGGTTGCTGGGGCCCATAAAAATCTACATCTATCTTCAATAATAAATCAAAATGGAGATGCGTTGTCACCCTTGAGGCCGGAGAAAGACTGGAAGAGAAGCATTCCATCTTATTGAATGCTTCTCTTCCAGTAAAAAGGGTCTCCGGTTCTCTACACTCGCTATACTAAACACAGCAGTGTTAAGCAGCTATTTTACGCTGGTATTCTGTGAGCGCAGAGCGGTCCTTCCCCGGTCGCGTATAAAATCAATTACAATATTATACTGAAACTGATATTATAACTATTCTGTAGATGTTACTAAAATTGCGGCAGTAATTACTCACCCACTGACATAACAAAAGCGTTCATAACTTGGCACACAAGACTGAATACATAGTTTCTAGATAAATAACGCATTTAATTATGGCAATGACTACACGAGAAATTCTAAACTAGTAATAAAAGATCAAAATGATTACAATTGTTTAAACAAAATTCGTCGTTACGCTGAATTAGCTCAAGCCAACTAGTTATTTATCATAAATTTAAAACTTTATGGTTCAAAATAAAAGTTTGAGAAATGAAAGCTTCACAAACAGTTTATGTTTGAGTAATAAAAAATCTCCGCTACACAAAATTGTCACAGCTTTACTAAATTTTTTATGAAAAATGTTTGGTGTCACAATGTTGAGTCCTAACTTTACTAGTTATTAATCTTGAAACGACAAAAGCCGTGGTAATAATAAAAAAAAAACTTGCCAAGTGCTGTCAGGCCACGCACAATGTAAAGTTACGGTTCCGTAGTTGCCCGTCACAATACGCGGGCTTTCTTGATAATGAGTATAATATGTGAGTTCGCGGTTTTGACCGTTATATAACGACTAAAAATGGGCTCAAATAGGAAGATCGCAACTGAAGGACTTATTTTCAAATCACGTGACTCTAATGAAAAATACAAAGAAAAAGATGTTGTTCGACACCCCCAGTGTTTTTGAAAGACCTATCCAAGGATACCCTACATGATGGAATAGACGGGTAAAAAAAAATCATTGTCCATTTACTTGTATGGGTAGAACCCAAAATAAAAATGTTCTTTTTTTCTGATTTTATTTCACTGTTTTCTAGGCGTGATTAATATCTGTAACTATGCCAAATTACAGATTTGTAGCACTTAGGGTCTCTGAGCAAAATCGCGGACGGACGGACGGACGGACGGACATGGCGAAACTAGAAGGGTTTCTTGTTGTGTAACTAGAGAACCCAAAAAATGCATGAAATAGTATGGAGCAATTTTGGTGTCAAATTATTTAGACCGTTTTTATTTACCTAATTTAAATAGTTGCAAGGAACTGTTTTAACGACATTTATTAGTGAAACAGAAATGAAAATTTTCTGATTTTCGCTAAATGACTTTATTAATTAAATTGCATATTTTTCATACCTTATCATATTTTTTTACCTTTTCAATGGGTCAAGTGCAGTTTATCGCACATGGAATTTACTAATGTGTGTTATCAAATAAAACGAACAGCGCCGTTCGAAAGTAACAATGCCTTATCATTATTAAAAAAATGACTAAATTTTCCCCGTGATTGTCACGTACATAATATATATATATAATATAATAAGTACAACATACTTTAGATTCTGAAGTATGTTGTACTGATTTTAAAGTTTAGAATATAAATAAAAACTAATTTGTATTTTAACCCTTTACCGCATACTGTGCCAAATTTGGAACGCTTTAATTTTTTCCTTGTAAAATGTTATCAACGCCATCTATCTATTCCGTTCTGCATCAACAAACAAAAGTAAGGTGTGCTTTAACTAAGCTACTATAAACAACCTCCATTCTAGTCTTTTGAAACGTTATTATCTCTGGACAAAACAGTTGAGGCCGCCATTTTGTAGGAGCCCGACGTTTCTCAGCTTCATACAGCGATAAGTGTTGTTGTTCTTGCAATAAAATTAAAAAACTGTGTGAGTGTTGCAGAAAAATGGATCCTCAGCGCTTTTATGGTAAAAAACGTAAGTATATTTTATAGTATCTTGTTTAATTAATCGGTCAAAGTTTGTTCCAAATTCGGAACAAAATGCAGCCAGGCGCTTTTTAACTGGCCAAATTTGGAACTTCATGCAATGTGTTCGTTAAACCCCCTTGGTCATATTTGGAACATTATGCAGTGTAATTACACTCGTCCTAGTTTTGATTATTTATATATGAACTCATCATCACTTCACTAAATATTATGAAACAAAGCCGTCGGCCACGTCTATCTGTCTGTCTGTTTATGAAAACTACTGCACGGATTTTCATGCGGTGGTCACAATAGATAGAGGGATTCTTGAGGAAAGTTTAGGTATAGAATACATCCCCGGGCGCGTCCGGGACGGGTTGCTAACTATATCTTAACCTAGAACTCAAACCTGGATGGCGAGGGCTAAATCCAGCCAGTCCCATCGAATTGACCAGTCTTTTTAGGGTTCCGTAGTATACGTCAAGGAACCCTTATAGTTTCGTCATGTCCGTCCGTCCGTCTGTCCGTCTTCGCTCTACCGTCCAAACTGTTAGCGCTAGAAAGATGAAACTTTGCATGGATATGTGTATTTACTAAGCCGACAAAGTGCTAAAATAAAATTATGAAAAATGTTTTTTTCTGGGGTACCTCCCCTACACGTACTTAATGTGGGGATGATTTTTTTTCTGAAATGAATGTATAATATTTTTTCACAGGTCCTGCATTTTCCATCCCAGAGAGTAGTGAAGATGAGAAGGCATCGGATGATGAAACTTATAGAAACCCAGGTCCTGAGATTTTCATTCCAGAGAGCAGTGACGATGAAATCGCTTCAGATGATGATCGTGGAAATGTAGGTGAATTTGAAGAAATTTATTTAGATGACGACGCTCTTGATAATGATTGCGACGAATATATTCCTTATGAAACGGAAGAAGAAGATATCTCAAGCAAGCCTTCTACGTCAAAACAGCGCACAGGAAATAAGAGAAAGAAGGTTAAATGTCGCTTCAGATGATGATCGTGGAAATGTAGGTGAATTTGAAGAAATTTATTTAGATGACGACGCTCTTGATAATGATTGCGACGAATATATTCCTTATGAAACGGAAGAAGAAGATATCTCAAGCAAGCCTTCTACGTCAAAACAGCGCACAGGAAATAAGAGAAAGAAGGTTAAATGTGTATGGTCTGATGAAAGTATGGCGTATGACGAGTCACATATTGCGTTTTTAGGATGCCAAGATCTCCCAAATGAAATTATGAAACTCGAAGCGCCCATGGATTTCTTTAAATTTTTATTTCCTTCTTCAGCGATTAATTTAATTGTAAGGGAGAGCAACTTATATGCTGATCAAATCACCGAAAGCAACCACAATGAAGTCACGGAAGAAGACATACGTAAATTTTTAGGCATAATAATTTATATGTCTGTGGTGCATCTTCCAACAACACGTCATTATTGGAAGGAAGGTACATACATTGAAAAGGTGGCTTCAGCAATGACTTGTAACAAGTTTGAAGAAGTAAAAAGGTTTTTACATTTTTTTAACAAAAATGATGAGTTGGAGTCCGGTGATCCAAATTTTGACCGGTTACAAAAGATACGCCCTTTCCTTAATATATTGCGTGAAAGACTGTTACAAGTGCCTAAAGAAGAATACTTGGCAATTGATGAACAAATGATTCCTACCAAAGCACGTACTTCTGGTATGAGGCGTTATAATGCCAAAAAACCACACAAATGGGGCTACCTCAATTATGTGCTAAGCGGAGCCAGTGGCTTTAGCTACGATTTTGAGGTTGATACTGGAAAACACCCTGATCCGCCAGAGAACTGCCCTGACCTCGGAATACCAGGAAACATTGTCCAGCGTTTGTTAAACACTGTTCCTCAAAATCTTAATTATAAAATTTTTGTGGACAATTGGTACACTAGTTTGCCTTTGATGGCCAACTTGCATAAAAAAGGACTCCTTCCTTTAGGAACAATTCAGCTCAATAGAGCACCCAATATAAATATAGAAAAAAAAACTATTATGAAAGAAGAAAGAGGATATTGTGCGGAAAAATCTACCATTTATGAGGATGTCAAATTAACCGTTACTACTTGGGTAGACAATAAACCTGTTAGCCTGTGTTCTTCATACGTAGGCAAAGAACCCATGGCAATGGTGAAAAGATTTTTAAAGAAAAAAAGGGCCAAAATTGATATCCCTTGCCCAAAGGCTATTACAATTTATAATAAATATATGGGCGGCGTAGACTTATTAGATTCTATGCTAGGTTTTTATAGGATTAAAATTCGAAGCAAAAAGTGGTATCACAGATTGTTCTTCCATTTTATAGACCTAGTCTGTGTAAATAGTTGGTTATTGTGGAGACGTAGAACCAAACAAAAAGGTGAAGACATGTACATACCCTTGCTGGATTTTAAATTAATGGTGGCAGAAATTCTGATGCAAGAAGATGCCAGAGTTTTTACACCAACTCGCAGAGGACGACCGCTAAATGCAAATATAGAAAATATTAAAAAAGACAAAAAACGACGCCGCATTGAATTGCCTCCTGTTGAAGTAGCCGAAGATGGCTTTAATCACTGGCCGGAGTGGAATACTGACCGACAAAGGTGTAAGATGGTCGGCTGTGGTCAAAAAACCCAAGTAATGTGTACTAAGTGCAAATGTTATTTATGCTTGAATAAGGACCGCAACTGTTTTAAAAAATTTCACATGTCGCATGATTGAATAAATAAATTAAAATTCATAAATGTTTGCTTTCGCATAGGTTTTTTTGTATTATTTTTAATAAACTAATTTCTTAAATGTATGAAAATAAAAATATTAAGTAAATATATTTTTATGTAGTTTTAATTAATTGAAGTAACTTAATTTAAAAAATTGATTAAATATAAATAATTTAATTATAAAATCTATATGTATAATAATACCTATATAAAAACTTCACAATTTTTAGTAATCATATTTTTGACATTTTTCTAATAAAATAAATTTGCAATTATATTGATACGACGTCACATAAGTATTTAATTTCTTAAAATATGTTTTTATTTAGACATAAATTTGAAATTATGACCTTAAAAAAAACATGCTTATCCAAAAGTAGAACACACTGCATGATGTTCCAAATATGGAACACGTACAATTATAAGCTTGAATGCATATCGTTCCAAATTTGGAACCAAAACTTTGGATATTTTTTTTGTAATGAATAATACCTCGATTTTTTTTTAAATATTTTTATATCAACAGGTATAAGGTATAGAACTAAATATTTTTTTTTAAGTTGATTTAAAAATTCCATGCGGTAAAGGTTTAAGCGAATTCATTTTTTCTATTCCCACGAGAAAAAATAACAATGAAAAAAACGTCTTGAAGAAAACCGATCGTCATCTAAAATAGACGTACAACATGGCGCACAAAATTTTATAGGGGAATTCTTGGCTGCCGATTCTTTTTCTACAATAGACAATTAAGAACAACATACATTACATTATGTTGGCATGTTGGAAGTAGGTACCGTTAATATATAGTTTTGAAGCAATTTCACAATTTAAAATTCCTTACAAGCTTGCCAAATTTCAATACATTTTTCTTCTTTGTGTGGATAACATATCTCTGATGAAGATTACTCTGATGAAGGTTACCAAATTGTTGTTATTTAAGGAGTGATAAAACCACAATAATAAGAAATAAATGTGTTATGGATTTCCATTCTACTACAAGTCATATAGACGTGCATGCATGAAGAAGATAATGAATCTGAAAGAAGCGAGAGGTTTGTAAGGATCGTGACACTTGGCGATCTGTTCTCTCTGGCTACCCCGTCAGGGATTGTGCGTGAAGATAAGTAAGTAAGTAAGTAAGTAAGTACAAGTCATATGAGTTAAATTAAATAAATTTTAGTTACCAAGCCGGACTTATCTTTCGAGTGTTAGCAGTACCTGTAACAAAAAATATGGCATTTCTTTAACATACTTTTCATAGTCTTATAGACGTACGATGAATGAAATAACATAAAACATGCATTGTTTACGTTAATACGGCCAATGTCTTATTTTTTTACATTTACAGATACAATTATTTTTATTTCAATATATTATAAATAAAATTAACATTACAGCCCTTCTTCACAAGTCCACTGGAGAGTCCACCCCCCAAGGGAGGCCCCTATGTTCAGCAGTGCCACAAAGCACGGTCCTGAGCCACCTGCATCCATCGACTTCCTGCATGTCTTACCAGGTCGTCACTCCATCTTAGTAATAAAATATATAATGCGGAATGGCCCCGTCCGTACGTGAAGCCAAACTTTTATTATATTTTCTGTGATGTTAGTATTGTTAGCTAGATTGCCAGTCAGACTTTTAAAATTTTTTCGGACTTAGAGCTATATAAAAGAGGAAACCGATAATAACACTGAATACTCATTTCGTGACTGAACGTCAGGTTTCCGATACGGCGTTCTTACACACAAACCAGTTTACAGATATACTCGTATGAGCTGATGACCGAGCAAGGGTATGCAGATCCTGGCTCTGACGGCTAAACTTGTGTCGATCAATGTTCTAGGCAAAAAGAAGCACCCAGGCACAACGGTATACGGTGTGTACGCATAATGGATGGCTGTCCGGGTTCCATCCTTAGTCCTGTTAGCGTTTGTATTACTTGGTGTTTGTGTAGTGTGAGTAAGACCAACAAAGGAAGATAGACGGAACACTGCGTACATTAAGTTATGCCTCGCTCTCTTCTTTCTTTTCTTTGTAAGAACGTAAAAGTTTACTGATGGACCCACACATGCTCATAAAACATTATTGATGGTTGCAAATGATATTAGATGCATAATATGTGTAGGTACGTAAGTGTGTGTGTTAATGTTAGTGTGTAAGTTGAGCATGGTTTGGTTTGGTTTTTGCGTTACTAGAAATGTTTGCACCTTTCCTTTTTTTTCTTCTTTGTTGGTCGGAGACTTTAAAACGTCACAAGGACGATGCCGTCATATTTATTACTGATATTGCCTTGTTTTTCGAATTTACTAAAGATAACTTAAAATATGGAGAGAGTAATCTACCACCCAATCTACATAACTTTACGCAACCTAACCAGCGTAGCACTTAAGAGAAAATTGATGTAAACATAATATATCTAAGGTGTGGATTTTGTATGCTTTTAACTACGGTAAGCTTTAACTATCTCTCATATGCAAAGCAGTAACGCATAAAGATTTCTTATCTTTGTAGGTACGTTGACCATATCACGCTACCTTTTTACATGCATATTACTTTTAACGTACAGAAAGCATATCTAATATATCAATAAGTTTATTGAGAGTTTTATAATTACCGGGGACTAACTTCACTTTACTGAATTGCCTCGTTGTTCTAGTGGTCGTAAGCGCGACTGCTGATGCTATGTTCCCGGGTTCAAATCCCGGGTCGGGTTAAATCAATTATTGGATATTCTGACAAAAAATTCTCGTTAGTTCCAGTTCAAGTTGCAGTATTTAACCCTCGTGCTTCGGCAAGAAAATCGTAAGTAAAGCCCTTGTTCCTACGACTGATGTGTCTCTGATCGTGTCAGAATGCCGTCCCATCGGACACTCACTAGTTATCCACTGCAAGAAACAAACATTTTGTTTGATTTTCCGCAAACATATTTTTTAATGTAAATAGATAATTTTTATAGAATGTCTTTGCTGCTGATTTTTACTTTGAGTAAAAATAATAACTTTTTAATTATTTTCCAAGAAATTAAACAAATTTTGTTGTATATTCGTTTTTGCACAATCATAATCAAATCGAGCCTGTTTGATTAATTTACTCATAGACACAAAATAATGATATACTATTCCCATTGTTATTTTAACTGCGAAGTTTTGATAAATACTTTAGCCCATTCAATAAATTATAAACAGAAAATAAGCACGCAATAAACATACTTTTAAAAAGTGAGAAATAAAACATTATAGCCATTTAATGCCATTAATTTTATCATCCGCAGTCAGAAGCATCCTGTACGATCTCATTCTAACAGTATAGTAGTGTAGTTCAAAAATTGGGGCTTTTTGGGTTACAATAAGCTTTACGGTCATATCAATTGTAACAACGTAAATCCGGATGTGCTCTGTTAACACGAAACATATCACATACATATCTTGACAAATTGGGTTAAAAAAAAACATTTTAAATATTATATTAAAATTTCTGGTTCGTTCTGCTTCATCATTCATCATCATTACAGCCCTTCACAAGTCCACTGCTGAACATAGGCCTCCCCCAAAGAATGCCACAAAACACGGTCCTGAGCCACCTGCATCCATCGACTTCCTGCATGTCTTACCAGGTCGTCACCCCATCTCGTGGGGGGACGCCCTACACTTCGCCTACCGGTACGAGGCTGCCACTCGAGAACCTTTCTTCCCCATCGGTTGTCGGTTCTTCGAGCTATATGGCCGGCCCACTGCCACTTCAGCTTACTAATCCGTTGGGCTATGTCGGTCACTCTGGTTCTACTGCGGATATCCTCATTTCTGAGTTTATCACGCAGAGAAACTCCGAGCATAGCCCTCTTCATAGCTCGCTGAGCGACCTTGAGCTTCCTCATACGGCCAGCAGTGAAGGACCACGTCTCAGTTCCGTAAGTCATCACTGGCAACACGCACTGGTTGTACAATTTCGTTTTAAGGTTTTGAGGTATGTCTGACGAGAAGATGTGTCGTAGCTTCCCGAACGCTGCCCAGCCGAGTTGAATCCGTCGATTGACCTCTCGGTCGAAGTTGGACTTACCTAGTCGGACTATTTGTCCCAGGTAAACATACTCGTCAACAACTTCGAGCTTAGTGCTCCCAACAACTACCGGCATAGGTGTGACATGGACATTAAACATGATCTTTGTTTTGTCCATGTTCATCTTAAGACCTATCCGTTGGGAAACACTATTGAGGTCATTGAGCATAGTGCTTAGGTCCTCCAGCGATTCTGCCATAAGGACTATATCGACGGCAAATCGAAGGTGAGTGATGTACTCGCCATTGATGTTGATACCGTATCCTTTCCGGTCCAAAAGCTTGAAAACGTCTTCCAATGCAGCGGTGAAGAGTTTCGGGGATATGACGTCACCCTGTCTTACACCTCTCTGCAATTGGATAGGTTTCGTACTCTGGTTCTGTACTCGGATAGCCATCGTAGCCCTACAGTACAAGCACTTCAACACTTCGATATACCGACAGTCAACTTGGCACCGCTGAAGGGACTGCAGCACCGCCCAAATTTCGACGGAATCAAAGGCTTTCTCATAGTCCACATACGCCAGACATAGTGGCAAATTGTACTCTTCGGACTTCTGTACAATTTGCCGAAGGGTATGTATGTGGTCTATGGTGCTAAAGCCCTTTCGGAAACCGGCTTGTTCGGGAGGCTGGAAGTCGTCAAGTCTGCGCGCGAGACGATTCGTAATGACTCTCGAAAACAGCACGTAGACGCGGCTCAGAAGGGAAATCGGTCTGTAGTTCTTCAAGAGAGCGTTGTCACCTTTCTTGAAGAACAAGACCACCGCACTTCTGCTCCACGCCGCCGGTGTAATGCCACCATGGAGGACGGAATTAAAGAGCTTCTGAAGGACTTCAAGTACCGGTCTTCCACCCGCTTTCAGAAGCTCCGCTGTAATTCCATCCTCGCCTGGGGCCTTACCGTTTTTAAGGTGCTGGAGAGCCATCCTAATCTCGCTCAGAC